TGTAAATGGTCAAACCACATTTCTAATTTGAAATCCAGATTAAGTAGCGCATGTTATGCATTAAGAATTCTTTCACGTTTCTTTCATACATCAATATTAAAAACAGTATACTTTGCCCATTTTTACTCAATAGCCAAATATGGCATTGAAGTCTGGGGTTGTACCTCTGAATTAGAGCAGATATTCGTACTTCAGAAAAGAGCTATTAGGATAATGTATAAAATGAAATTTAGAGATTCTTGTAGAGGCATCTTTAGACAAAACAATATTCTGACAATTCCTGGTCTGTATATATTTTCGTGTATAATGTATTTGCATAGCAAAATTTATGAATTTAATAAATTTCAATTTAACCATGTTTATTCAACAAGATTCAGAGACAATCACTTTATGCTTCCACAACATCGTTCTGTTTTGTTGGAAGGTAGCACACATTATGCAGCCATAAGTTTCTTTAACAAATTACCAATAGATATACGAATGAATTTACATCAGCCAAACTTTCGGAGGTGTGTACATCAATACATTTGTGAGCTAGAGCCATATTCTAAAAATAATTTTTAAGTATGTTTTATCGTGTTTAATTAATTTATATAATTTTAAGATTTATGTCTGTATTTTTGACTTGTCTCATACATGTACTTTGTATAATGTCGCATGTGATCAATAAATTTGACTTGACTTGACTAACGAGTCTACTGAACAAAATCTATGAAACTGTAGAATTTCCTACAGATTGGCTAGAATCATATAATCAACTAGCCTATATTTGTAAATCTGGAGATTGTTACGATTATCACCTTTTTTTTAACAAGATGTGCAGCAGTGGTAAATTACCAAACAATTGGTTAGAATAAATATTTATGATTATTCACAAGAAAAATAATGCCAGACAGTGTAGCGACTGTCGACTTATCAGTTTAATTAGTCACAGGCTCAAATTTTTATAAAAATATTGCATTATCGTATAAAATTCTGTGAGGGAAAACTGGTGATAAGCAGTTTTGTTTCCGAAAGGATATGGGTACTTGTGAGGTTCTTTTTTTGCTTGCGAATACTCTTACAAAAGAGCATGGAGTTTAGAATAAATTTTTACGTACATTTTATAGATTTCGAAAATGCCTTTGATAAAGTACCATACACTATTATTTTAATGCTTGGATTCAGGTGTCTTGGACACGTATGACATTAGATTGCTCAAAAATCTTTACTACAGTCAGACCGCTTGTATTAAGGTGGACCAAGAGGTTTTGTTTAATGCCTATACTGAACCAGTTTTTGAGATAACTAGAGTTAAATAATCGTCGCGAAGGTATCAAAATCGGTGGTGAAATTGTTGTGGATAATGCCTAAAAAAGGGCTTAACAATCAACACAAATAGAACAAAATGGATGGTGGTCGGAAAAATTAATATAAGACAGATAGGTTTCTTGTATTCTGTGCACTTAGCATCATTCGTTTCGTATCTGGAGCGACACCCAGCCCAGTTCTCTAGGTTGGTAAGTATCTAGATTATTCATAAACCGTTTCTTTATCATCTTCATAAAAAGGTTGTGTGTATGGAGAGCAAACTAATAGGTCTGTAGTTCTTTAGGTCTGAAATGTCACATTTTTGTGTCATTATTAGTTATTATTGCATTTTGCCATTGGGAGGGGGTTACATCTTTTGTCAAACAAACATTGAACATATTTTTCAACATATTTGTTAACGATTCTCCTCCTTCTTTAATTTATTCTATGACTACCTCATCTTCTCTAGGTGATTTATTGTTTTTCATATGAAAGAGATATTTTTATTTCCTCTGTATCATTTTTAAACCTTCAAACTTTTATTTTTATCAATGGTTTGAGTTATGTGTTCAGTACTGTAATTTCTGACATCTTTTCGAATTGATTTTGAAAATATTTGTTTAACTGTCTAAATGTTACCCAATTCTATGTGTATATGTCTTTTAATTCTTTTGTTTATATATCTTTAGTACATTGGGTGAATTTATCCTCCTTGTTTTTTTCCTTTTTTTCTTATATTTGCTATGAGCGTTTTCAATCGAAGTATTTATTCCCTTGTTTGTCACTTCTATGTAGGTATATCTAATTCATTTTCATTTAGATGTTCTACTTTAGGTCATCTACGTGATGTACAGATTTTTTGCCAATATCGTAATTAATAAATTAATCTTTCACACAGGAAATAGGTTGTCGTCTTAGAGCTCTCTTATGAAACACTTTCCCCTTCAATTAGCTGAAGTAACTGAAGTAAACCGTATCGCTCATTATTTCTTTGGACTTTTTATAAGAAACAAAGAGAGATATGCTTTATTTTAGTAATTACTAAAGGGACAGTATGTTTGTTTTTCCTGGTTCTATAACCTACAAATTTGATTCAATCTGATGACTGCAAACGTGTTTGGAGCAGCTGTCAATTAGGTTAAAATCGCCACGATGATACCCAATATCCGGAGGGTGATAGGCACGACAAAAATATCTTTTACACAGCTCTAATGATATCATGTGTAACTCATATTTTTATAGAGTACAATACGGAGTTAGCGAAACCTACGAAGACAAAGATATCAAAATAATATTTTAAAAAAATCTAGCCAACTTTTTTTTTGATATTATTTTGTATATTGGATCACCCCATCATACGGATATTTTATAATATCATACAATAATTTTTACCTTACCCAGAAAACCTCAAAAAATGCATTCAAAACCTGTAGAAAATCCAAAACAAGAAGAAAACAAAACAAGAACTTATAGTATGGTAGCAGCTGGTAAAAGTAACGAAGAAAACTATAGTAGTCAAAAAGATCTGAAAATAGAACAAACACTACAAAAAATATTAGAGAGATTAACTAACCTAGACGAGCGTATAACCAGAATAGAATATAGCACCAAAGGAGCTATACCTAAAAGACTTGGTAATGGCGGGTAATTTACGAATACTAGAATGGAATGCAAATGGGATCTTGAAACATCAGCAAGAACTACAAGCGATACTAGATATAGAAAAAATAGACATATGCCTCATTTCTGAAACCCATTTTACGAATGAGTCCTATATTAGATTTAGGGGTTACAAAACCTATCATACTACTCACCCTGATAATGCAGCCAAAGGAGGTAGTGCAGTAATAATCAAGGAAAATATTATGCACTATGAGGAAATTGGATACAGAACAAAAGAATTTCAGGCCACATCAGTAAAAATTAAATGTAAAATTAAATGTAAAAATTAAATGTAAAAATTATGAGGTAATCGTCACAGCAGTTTACATACTGATCAAGACGAAATGGAGATTAGCCTTGTAACTCCAAAAGAAGTATATTTGGAAATAAAAGAAAATATAAATCCAAAGAAAGCTCCTGGATTTGATCTAATTACTGGGGAAGTGTTAAAGCAACTTCCGAGGAAAGCTATTATAAAATTAACACATCTTATAAACGCTTCCTTTAGGTTGAGGTACGTACCAAAGATATGGAAGGTGGCAGAAATTATAATGACACTAAAACCAGGAAAACCTCCACAAGAAGCTTCTTCATATAGGCCTATTTCACTGTTACCTGTCATGTCTAAATTATACGAAAAATTACTCTTGAAGAGACTAAAACCGATTATAGAGGAAAAAAATCTAATTCCTAATTATCAGTTTGGGTTTAGAGCAAGCCACTCAACCATAGATCAGGTGCATAGAATAACAGATATCATAGAAAAAGCTCTAGAAGAAGGAAAAGTTTGTTCCGCAATTTTTCCTCGATGTAGCGCAGGCTTTTGACAAGGTGTGGCATGATGGACTATATCATAAAATGAGATGCTACTTACCAAAACAATATTCTGAACTACTAGAATCATATATATCCGACAGATACTTTCGAGTTAAATATGAGGAAGCATATTCAGAATTAAGAGAAGTTAAAGCTGGAGTTCCACAAGGAAGTGTCCTGGGGCCAGTGCTATACCTGCTCTATACCAGCGATATTCCATCATTAGAACCTAACACAATTGCGACATTTGCAGATGACACATGCATACTAGCAGTCGGACAAAACCACGAGGATGCAGCTACCATGTTACAGAACTCTGTTGAACAAATTAACATCTGGACCAGCCGATGGCGTATCAAATTGAATGAAACAAAATCTGTTCATGTCAATTTTACTAACAAAAGAGAACAACATATCCCAGTACATATAAATAGAAACCAAATACCTTATGCAAATACGGCAAATATTGACGTTAGATTCCAAGCTACGTTGGAAAGCACATGTTAAGAAAAAAAAGAAGGAATTAGAAATTAAGTTCAGAAAGATGTACTGGTTGATGGGAAAAAAATCCACTCTGTCTATTTACAACAAATTGCTATTATATAAGCAAGTCCTTAAACCGATATGGACATACGGAATACAGCTATGGGGCTGTACAAAAGAAAGCAACATCCAACATATACAACGATATCAGAATAAAGTATTAAGGAACATCGTTAAGCTCCATGGTACTTTAGAAACTGTGATCTTCATCGAGACCTCCAGATGGATACAGTTATCCAGACAATAAGTAAGTTTGCCGAGAGTCATGAACAGAGGCTCTCCAACACGTGAACGTCGAGGCCATCAAACTCCTAGACAACGCCAACCAGATAAGAAGACTAAAGAGAACGAAGCCGTTTGATTTAGTGCTATAAGTGAGTGAAAGTGAAAAAGCAGAGTAAAGTGCGGCTAAAGTGTACACGTTAGCTAGTAGTACTATAATGTATTAGAGCCTAAGGAATATTGCTGAATATAACCTTAGATAAGTTTCTTGTAATATTTATATATAGAACTAACTTGCTTATTGATCATAGTGAATGATCAGATAGCAATAGTCATAAGATTCCTGTTGGAGTTTTATTAAACAAAAAAAAAATACAATAATTTTTGCAAACAACTTTTTTTCGATATTTAATATAACATCCCTGCTGTATTGCTTGGACTTGTATTTATTAGTTGATTTTACTTACCACTCCGACAGCCTGCAGAGAGAACAAACACGTTCCAAAATACAAAGGGTACTTATCCAACGGACCAAACGCTGGAAGGCTTGAAAACGCCGGCAAATTTTGGAAAACGTAGTATCCACAAACGCCAAACGTCAAAAGAGTGATAAAATTTGCTAAGTACGAAAATGGCACTAAAAGTTTTAAATTTCTGAGCATCATTATTAGTAGAAACGGGATGAAGAACATCAGTATGTACAAGGTTTGGTTGATCTCGGGCTTGATGTATTCATCACAGACGGCCTTGATGTTGACACCAACGAAGACCACGTAGACACAACAGATGCCGACTTGATAGACGATGAGAAAGAAGTTGGTGATTCCCCTGAAAAATTTTAATAATTGGTAATACAGTTAAACCAGTAAAAATCTTATACATACAGATTTTTGAAGATTCTAAAAGCTATATGCGTGTCATTCTGGTCTTATTGACACCAATCTATTTATAAACATTTTGAAAGAGGATTGACTCGAAGTTTCTCCCTTGCACGAAGTGAACATGAAATCGGCTGAAGCATACTTTCAATTTCTTCTACAATTGTAGTATTTTCTTGATTTGGTACCGCATAGGCCTCAGTCCATTTCGTAAAATATTCCATGGCTACCATAATATATTTATTTTCATCATTCGTCTTTGGAAGTGGACCTGCAATGTCGATTGCTTCTCTTTCCATAGAACTACCAACATTATACTGTTTCATGGGTGTCTTTTTACCAACTAGATCATTACTCGTTGCACACAGTTCACATTTCCGGCACCATCTTCTTAGATCATCTTTACAGTTCACCCAATGGAACCGTTCTCTAATCTTTTGCAGATTCTTCGTAATATCAAAGTATCCACTTAATGCACCGTCATGCAACTGACGCAATACTTCTGACACTTTACTTTTAGGTACAATCAACTGAAGCTTAGATTCTGTACCATCATCGTTCTCAAAGGTTCTATAAAGAAGATCATCTTTTAACACTAAGCAATTCCATTGGCTCCAGTAACACTTGACTTCAGGACTACATGCACTAATGTCTTGCCAAGAAAGTCTCTCACCTCGACACATCCGATCCAATACTCTTTATATATGGATCATTTGCTTGGGTGTCTTGTAGCTGTTGAGGCTGTCATTGATCGACAATGACGGTAGTTCGTCTCACAGGTCTCTCATTCCTCTAATTTAAGACAGTGATTACAATTTGCACTGCACGGCCGTCTTGATAGAGCATCAGCATTTGAATGAACTCTACCAGTACTATGTTCGATCTGTAGTAGTTGTATTATTTTCTTGCAATTTACGGCGAATGTAATATTCCAACATCTGGGCTAGCGTCTCTTCCGCATCGTGTTACGTTGCATTCATTGTTATTGTTCGTCTTCTTCTTCTTCAATGGTTCAGTCTCGATAGCTCCGTGAAGTTTGAGTAGCTGTTTCGTGTTCCAAGGCAATGCTCATATAAAACTTTCGATCTTGCTAGTCGCAAAGCTTTCTCCATTTCACTGTAGTTCAATCCATTGACGAAGGTATCTACAGCAATTTCATCCAGAATGTTTTCTGGTGCCTTCGAATAAGCTAACCGCACTATACGAGCAACATCTACTTTAAATTCTTGCAAATTCTCACTTGCTTGATGAATTCTATAGTTCTTGGTTTGTAGACTTGTAGATGGGCATCTCCATAGCGTTTTTCTAGTCGAGTGAATAAGGACTGATACCATTTTTCTTAACCCTTAGGAATCGATCTTAGAAAATCCGGAGAATCACCTCGTAAAGCAGCAGTCAATGAAACTGCCTTTTCTTGTTCGGTCCAAAGAAAACTTCACCATCACCGTCAAATGGTGGCAATTTGAATCTTATATGATGCGTCGTTTCGCCTCTCGGTGATTCTTCTTTCACCACATGATCTAAAACTACTGCATAAATTGGTGGTAGTTCTTTCGTATTGGTTATCAGGTTCTCTAATTGTTCAATCTTCTACATCTTGTTCATAGTCTACATTTTTCTGTATCTTATCGAATAATCTAGAAACTTCTGCAAACTTCTCATTGTTCTTCTTAACTTCTTTAATTATTTGAGAAGTCTCGTCAAATCTTCTAGAAACATTTTCGAATTTCTCGTCAAATCTTTTGGAAACATTTCAAGAAGTTTCTTCATTTATTTGAGAAACGTTTTTGAATTTTCCATTACTTATTTTTCTTAAAACTGCTTCTTCTGCTGGCTGAAAGTGAAATGTCTCTGAGTTATCTCCATTCTTGTTGAGAACTTCCTTTAATCGTTCTTAAATAACCTTCTTTGACTCGATTCAGTCTTCATCTCGTTCTTCTAGTTGCTCGTGCAACTGTTTCACTGAAAGTTCTACTAGCAGCATCTATGGTCAGGTACACACGTACTTTCCAAATGTTCTTTCTGACAAAAATCACTACCGAACTACGCGGATGTTCTCGACGAATAATACTTTTCAAAAGTTTAAAAGTCTTTTTCAAAAATCACTGCTTAATTTAATTTTAAATTAATAAATTATCTCACACCGTGACACCACTGAAACGTGTTCAGAGAAAACGAGCGGTTCTAATAGTTCTAATAAGTATAGATATGCTCTTAAAACAACTACAAGATATCTTTCGCATTTAAAGTGATTTTGTGTGTGTGTTTATATAATTGTTATCACATAGTTTTAGTATACTTACGGGGCATATGGAGCAAACCTTCGTAAAGGTTTCGGACCCACCTCACACGCCACTCTCATAGAATCTGGATAAGTTAAAAGCCCCACTCGTTTCCGTTTACATAATTCGTATTGAGCTATTACCTAAAGAATAAAAACATTATTTAATAAAAACTATATAAAAAAATACCAATACAATAAATAAATATTAGAAAAGGTTTCTGATAAATTAAAATCTATCTATCCACCCTTTTTCATTAAGCTCAACTCATCCACCAGGCACAAGGCCATCCAAAAACCCCTGTTGCATTCGCTTTCGGGGAAATATTGGCATGGGAGGTATAAAGCTCTTGAAGCAGAGAAAGAAACTTCTGCGGTTAGTTTTACTCATCTGTGCGGATGCAAGTGCGAAAACTTGGCGCTTTTCTTTTGAAGCTATGATTTTAGAACCACTTTTTGGATTTACCGTAACTCCTGTTTCGTCTACGTTGAAATTTTTTTCTGCTATTAATTTCGATTTCTGGACAGTTTCTTCCAACAGTTTAAAGAATTGTTAAATCTCATCACACGGACACCTGGTGTAGCCTTCGGTTTTTCTATAGATAACTCTATGTGCCTATTTAAAAAGCCGTGCATCCATTTCTGTCCAGCCATTTTATAATTTTTGTTAAAGGGGTTGCTCAATCCTATTTTTATCACCAAGGTGATTACACAAGGTTAAGTATCACAATGTTAACAATGTTAACATGGTTAAAACTATATTTACTATGTAAGTAATCAACGTAAAATGCAGATCAGTTGCTTTAATTTTCCTATGCTCTCTCTTAAACGACCACTCCTCTTTAGGGACCACATTTTGATTACCCGAGATTGGTCGCTATAGGAAGGTTTTACTAAATCATGAAACAAATAAATATAAATACTTACCAATACTCGCAAACAGTATGTACTGAGAGCTCCTATAATAATGGTAGAAATGATTCCATTTATCATTCCAGCTAATTTGAACCCTTCTGGCATGGCTAAGATTCCGGTTCCTATGGCACCTTTCAGTAGATGGATAAGAGTTTCCATGTTCCTATAAAACACCAATAGAGAATAGGCAAATTAATTAATAGCACAATTAATAGAAAAAGAAGAGTTGAAGGAAAAGATACCTTCTTGAAGAAAAACCGTTATGGACCATTCGACTGTAACAATAATTATAACGGCGGTTTGGATATCGTTAGAGATGAAGTCAAACAACTATTGAAATTAGACAAAAACTCTAGCTTTCTTGTTTTGATGTGTTTATCCTTTTGTGCTTTAGCCTTCTTAACACTTCTGCATTTATAACTCGTTGGGTTCATATCATTTTCAAAATCCTTCTACAGCACCACATCTCAAATGATTCCAACTTCTCTTTATATTATTCACGTTTAGTGTCCAGTTTTCTATTGCATACAACAAAGTCGAAAAGTCGTAGTATCCTATACTCTTCCCACAGTACCGTCGAATCCACCTTAGGGCTTATAGGAGCCCTCATATCCGCTTGATACACAAATACTTGTTAACTTTTGTTGATACCACGTTGCTTCTATTCAAATTCATGGAAATACACTGGAAGAAATATGTAACTTAAGAGGAGTACCTCAAGGTTGTGTATCTTCACCCTTACTCTTTAATATTTATTCTGAATACTTTTTTTATACACATTTTCAATGAAATTATGAAGAATTTAGATTCAGAAATAGTTATAAATAGAGTCCAAACCATTTTAAACCTCTTCTTTCTATTCTGTCAATGACCGTTTCTGTAGCATTCATGTTATTTCTTATAGATTCGTTGGGCTTCCTTTCCAGCCTTGATGTTCTAGCACTTCTTCTCAAATAATCCATTTCAACTGCCAACAATCTTCTCTTCAGGTCTGCATTAATTGTCGATACTTTAGAGCCATAACAAAGAACTGATTCAACCATGCTTTGCCCTATTCTTTTTTTGTTCCTTTTGGAAATGTTGCGATCCCACCATAAGGAGTTCAGACATCCTACAATTTTACGTCCCTGATTAATTCGGGTACATAATAATGGGCGACTTTAACGCCAATGTGGGTAAAGGAAGATATGAAGACATAATTGGAGAGTACGGCCTTGGAGTTAGAAATGAAAGAGGCGACCTGCTGTGTGAATTCTGCCAGGAGAACGGTTTTGTCGTCATTAACACATGGTTTCAGCTCCCACCTCGTAAGTTATATACTTGGAGATCACCAGGAGACCGTCCAAATCGAATAATTAGAAACCAAATTGACTACGTTTTAATAAACGGAAGATTTCGTAACGCTATCAAAAGAATCGCAGCATATCCAGGTGCTGATATTGCATCCGATCATAATCCGCTAATAGCAGATGTGAGGTTAAAACTAACAAAAATTAAGAGAACAAATACAAATACCAGCACACCTATAAATACAAGAGAACTGATGAGAGACGAAAATCTGAAGAAGAGTTATGCGAATCAAATTAATGAAAGAATACGAGTAATAGAACAAAATGATGATATCGAAGAGATGGTCAATGATATTAAAGGAACGATTCTGGCAGTAAACAGGGAAGTTAAAACATAGATCAGAAAGAGAAAGCATAACGAATGGATAACGGACGAAACTAATGGAAAAGCGAAGGCAACATAAACAACAACGTAATCAAGACAAATACAAACAGATACACAAAGAAATCCGTCAGAAAATTAAGAAAGCAAAAGAACGTTGGATGGTGGAAAGGTGCAACGAAATAGAACAATTGCAGGAAAAATTAGATAGTTTTGGACTACATAAGAAGATCAAAGAAATATCGAATATACACAAAAGCCACCACAGAACAAGAATACGCAACGACAGAAACGAATACATAGAGTCAGAAGAGGAGATAGCAATGGCGTGGAAAGAATACGCAGAAAGCCTTTTTAATGACGAAAGACCAACACAACCAACGCGCAAACTTCCTTCCGAAAACTTATCAGGGCCATCAATAATGCGAAGTGAAATAGAATATGCAGTTAGAACCACAAAGATGCATAAAGCAACAGGTCCAGATAAAATTAATATAGAAGCAATAAAACTACTAGACGAGGAGAATATCGAAATCTTGGTAAGGCTGTTCAATAGAATTTATGATACTGGTTACATTACGCGCGAGAATGGCTGCAGTCATCCTTTGTGATGATCCCAAAAACAACTAATGCCACAAAATGCAATGAACACCGCTTAATCAGTTTAATGAGTCACTTGTTGAAACTCTTCCTTAGGATATTACACTCAAGAATGTACAAGATACTAGAAGAACTTAGAGGGTCAACACAATTCGGTTTTAAGGGAAGACTAAGAACAAGAGAGGCAATTTTATGTTTGAACACCTTAATACAAAACTGCTTAGATCAACGAAAAGATGTCTACCTCACCTTCATCGACTACGAGAAGGCATTTGACAATGTTAAACATGATATCATGATGGAATTACTACATAGGGCCAACATTGACCAGAAGGAGATCAGAATTATTCAGAATCTATACTGGAACCAAATGGCAAAGGTGAGGATTGATCAAGACCAATATACGGATGAATTTGAAATCCGGAAAGGTGTCCGCCAAGGCTGCATACTCTCTCCGATGCTTTTTAATTTATATGTTGAAAATATATTTGCGGAAGCATTAGAAGATACGGAATTAGGCATTAAGGTGAACGGCATACCAATTAGCAACCTACGCTATGCGGACGACACAGTGATTATAACTGATAATTTGGAAGATCAGCAGTTATTACTTGATAGGGTGAATAGCATAGGTAAAAAATATGGCCTCAAAATCAACATTTTGAAAACGAAATATATAGTCATTAGCAGAAACCCTCCAGAAAACCCGATAATATGCATAGGTGACAATCGTATAAATTGCGTGAAAACTTTTAAATACCTTGGCACCACAATCAATGACCAATCGGATTCACAACACGAGATAAAAACCCGAATACAAATGGCAAGACAAGCTTTTGTGAAATTCAGACCGCTCCTATATAATCAACACCTAAACTTCGAAATACGCTACAGAATGGTCAAGTGCTACATGTGGTCGATATTGCTCTATGGCATGGAAACGTGGACTTTGAAAAAAACATCTATCAACAAACTTGAAGCATTTGAAATGTGGTCATTGAGAAGAATGATGCGCATACCTTGGGTGGATAGAGTTCGAAACGATGACGTCCTTAAGAGAGCCGACGTGGAAAGAGAACTCTTTGAATTAATTAAAAAACGCAAGATTGGTTACCTTGGGCACATATTGAGAGGAGCAAAATATGAAACACCACAGTTAATCCTACAAGGAAAGATCGAAGGTAGGAGAGGAGCCGGCCGCAAACAATTATCCTGGTTAAGGAATATTAAAGAATGGAAAGGAATACACAATACAGGCGAGCTGTGTCACGCCGCCAACAACAGAATTCTAGTAATGAGATAGTCGCCTACACACTTTGGTGTATGGTATGTTAAGAAGAAGATTAATTCGGTGTTTAATTTCGGTTTCTCAAAAGCCATTCTAATTAATGAGTATAATATACTATATAATATATTATAGTGAGTGCAAGGGTGACATACTGCATCCATGTCTTAGTCCTTTAGTTACTCTATTGGCTCTGATAGTCTATTTACGATTTTTTAGGTAAGTAGTGTTGTCCCTGTATACTTCTGTGTAATAAAGTCGAGTTGTTGTAAAGCTTGCCACATAGGTAGATCTTGCACTGATAACTTGTTGATACCCTAACAATTAATAGAAAAATGGAATGTCGGTTGGTACCGAAGTACATCTAGCCTTCATCGACCTAGAAAAGGCATATAATACGGTTCCATATATACCATGGCAACCATATATACTAACTCTTGCTAAATAAGAAAGATACTTACGTTGTAGGGTGTTCATTTTGTCTGTACATATGAGGATCAAAGTCGTCACCGCCATTCTCGGCTGATTGGTTGTTTTGTCGTCCCCTAAAAGAAAAAAACATCGTAGCATTGGTTCATCTCAATACAATTCTCTAGAAAGGTTTAGTGTAGTGCAATTTTTTTTAGTATTTGTGTGTGTATGTGGAATCTGCTACAAAAATAGTATATCAAACAAGAATTATGAGTGGAATATAAATTTGAAAAAATATATAGGATGTCCCATTTAAAAAATTGTATGTTTGCTATACCACGTAGTTATTAACCAGCCTGTTGAATTCCTCATATTATCCAAATATGGAGAATATCATTGCTTACATTTTTTCTAAATAAGTTTTTTGGATATCTTGTACCACAATGGAATTGTGGGGGTTCCTAAGGGGAACATTGGGTTTTCACAGAGTGTCTCCAGCGAAAATTATTTCTGGCTAGTTCTTTGATTTCAAGCCAGGTTTTTCCCATTTTTTTCCTTCATCTAGTACTGTCCTTTTTCAAGTTTTTTAGATCTGACTACTTTTCGTCGGCCTTGAGGATTTCAATCCAGCACGGTCCTGGTAATATAATCTGGTGGTCGGTCTGGTGGGTGATACGAAGTGTGTATCCCAGCCATCTCCATTTTGTTCGCCTTATTTGCTTTATGAAATTTTTTTGGATGGTCAAAAAAGAAATATTTTAGAAAGAAGAAAAACATGCACTGTTCTATAAATTTTGTCCTTTATTCCAATAAGAGTTATTTTCTGAATAGTTCCTAGTTTAATTTATCTTTTGAACATTTTTTTTTGTTTTATCAATTGTCTATCTCCAAATTGAGGGAGTTTTTTGCATAACTCGAATCTCTGATGTTTTATTTCTCAAGTAAAGTTATACTCAGGTGCAATATTACAGCTGGAAATTTTTAACAACCTTGTGACTGTTGGGAAAGTTAAATACCGACAATATGCACTTGCTAACAAATAGAGACATGAAAATAAACTAAGTGAATGCATTCTGGAACACCTACTTGAAAATTGGTGAAATATTGCCAAGTGTCACAGTGTGCAATGACATCGGATTTAAAAATGTATTTTTAGGCAGTTGCTTAACTAGATAGTGTATAATAAATCAAAGCGAGTGGAAAGTCTTAATCGTGTTTCATAATTTTTAAAGAGAGCGTGAATGAATAATTGTATTAAAAAAAAGTTTATAGACCAAGCAAATTAGCAAAAAAATGTTACCTATCTAAAGTTTTATGATAGAAAGGGACTAGATTGGAGTATAATATACAAAATAAAGATAAATTAAACAAATGAAAAGTTCCGGGGGTGTTTTGTGGTGAGTTTTTTAATTTCCGGCGAAATTTTAGGTCTTATCAAAAAATTTAAAATACGAAAGTTGTAGATAATATAAAAATCTACAACGTTTGTTACTTCTTCTTCTTAAGGTTCCATCTTCTAACGAAGGTTGGATATCAACATGGCAATTCTTACTTTACTTACAGCAGCTCTAAATAGTTGGCTAGAGCTCAGACTAAACCATTCCCTTAGATTTCGTAGCCAGGAGGTTCGTCTTCTTCCTACATCTCTTTTACCTTTTATTTTGCCCTCTATAATCAAACGTAGTAGCCCATAACGAGGACCTCTTAATATATGACCGAAATATTCAAGTTTCCGCCTCTTAATTGTCTGTACAATTTCTTCCCTCTTATTAACCCTATCAAGGACTTCAATATTGGTAATTTTGTCTACCCATGCTATTCGTAGCATCCTTCGATAACACCAACGCTCAAAAGCTTCCAATTTCTTAATCTCCAGTTGTTTCAATGTCCATGCCTCAGATCCGTAGAGCAAGGTTGTAAAAATGTAGCAGCGCAATAACCTTATCCTTAGATCCATTCTTAGGTCTCTACTACACAATAGATGTTTCATTTTTACAAATTTTGCCCTTGCTATTTCTATACGGCTTTTAATCTCTTGCGTTTGTTCTGCGTTTTGACTAACCAATGTTCCTAGATATTTGTATTTATCTACCCTTTCTATCTGGATATTATTAATATGGAGTGTCTCGTTGTCTTTTGGATGTTTTGTAATGACCATGAATTTTGTTTTCTTTAAGTTCATTTTAATACCATATATGGTACACTTTTCATTTAGCCGTTCCAGTATGTTTGATAGACTTTGCAGAGTTGAAGTGAATATGACAGTATCATCGGCATATCTTATATTATTAATAATTTCACCATTTATTATCATTCCATCGTTACACTCTCCTAAAGCTTCTTGGAAGATGGCTTCGCTATATATATTAAACAGCAGTGGTGATAATACACAGCCCTGTCTCACACCCCGAAGAATTTCTATTTCTTCCGACATTTGATTTTCAATTCTTATTTTGACTTTCTGGTTCCAGTAGAGGTTCGAGATTACTCTGATGTCGCGGCTATCGATGTTTTTCATTTTTAAAATATTAATTAGTTTATTGTGCTGTACCTTGTCAAATGCTTTTTCAAAATCAATAAAACATGTATACATGTCTTGGTTCATATCCAGATTTCTTTGCATGAGCACATTTATACCGAACAATGCTTCCCTGGTTCCCGTGCCGTTTCTAAAGCCTAACTGACTATCACTAATTTCATCATCCAGCTTTCTGTAAATTCTGTTGTGGACTATTCGTAGAAATACTTTCAAAACATGGCTCATTAATGCAATTGTACGGTGTTCTGAGCATTCTTTTGCATTCTGCTTTTTGGGAATAATTACGAATGTGGATACTAACCACTCCTTTGGTAAAATACCTGTTTGATAAATATGATTATGTTTGTTACTTACATAATGCTTTTAGCATAACCTCAAAATTACCAACAAAAATTAACAACAAAACCCCAATTAACATACCAATCCTTCTGTGCGATCTATTTATCTATCTAATTAGCCTTCTTCGGTCCATCTTTGGACATTCTTCTTCTTTAAGTGCCGTCTCCTTTAAGAAGGTTGGCTATCATCACGGCTATCTTCACCTTTGACACTGCTGCTCTAAACAGCTCAACAGAGTTACAATTGTACCACTGCCTCAAATTGTTTAGCCAGGATACACGTCGTCGGCCTATGCTTCTTCTGCCCAGTATCTTTCCCTGTATAATGATCTGCAGCAACTCATATCTCTCACCTCTCATGACATGACCCAGATACTGCAATTTTCTTATTTTAATTGTATTTAATATCTCCTTTTCCTTGTTCATTCTTTTTAAAACGTCGTTGTTCGTAACCTTATCGATCCAACTTATTTTTAAAATTCTTCTATAAGCCCACATCTCAAACGCTTCTATTCTGTTACTTATATCTTTTTTAAGCGTCCAAGCCTCCATTCCATATAATAACACAGAAAATACATAACATCTAAGCATTCGTACTTTAAGTTGCAGACTCAGATCATTGCTGCAAAGTACTTTTCTCATAGTATTGAATGTTGATCGGGCTTTTCCTATACGTGATTTGATTTCCTGTGTGTAATCGTTGTTTTCGGTTATGATTGTTCCCAAGTATGTATATCTGTTCACCTTTTGAACGAGTTCGTCCCTAATCCATAACGTGTCCTGTTGTTGTGTCTTTGCGATGGTCATGAATTTCGTCTTTTTGATATTTAAAGTAAGTCCAGCCTCTTCGCTACTGTCTACAATCTTATTTATCAGAACCTGCAATTCTTCAACTGACTCTGCGATTACTAAAGTATCATCGGCGTATCTGATGTTATTTATAAGTTCTCCGTTGACTTTAATTCCACTTGATGTTTCCTTTAGTGCCTTCTGAACTACCTCTTCTGAATAGAGGTTAAAAAGCAGCGGAGACAATATGCATCCCTGCCTTACCCCTCGTTGTATTTCTATTTCTTCTGATAGTTCGTTGCCAACCTTTGGACATAGGCCTCCCCAATTCTTTTCCATTCTTCTCTGTCTGTCGCTACAGTAATCCATCTAGAGCCCACGTGCTTCTTGATATCATCTGCCCATCTCATTTGGGGCCTTCCTCTGCTTCGTTTATATTCCCACGGTCTCCAACTTATAAGAATTTTGTTCCATCGGTCTTCTTTTTGTCTTATATTGTGTCCGGCAAATCTCCATTTCAATTTTGCAACTTCTTGTCAAACATCCCTCTCTTTGTTTTCTCTCTTATCCACTCGTTTCTCTTCTTATCCATTAGTCTTATGTGCAACATTTGTCTTTCCATTGCTCTTTGGGTTTTTATGATTTTGTCCATGTTTGCTTTTGTAGATTTCCACGTTTGGGAACCATAAGTAAGAACAGGGAGTACGCATTGATTATATACTTTGGTCTTAAGATGCTGTGGATATCTTTTGTTTTTAAGAATGTAGCTTAGTTTGCCAAATGTCGCCCATGCCAGTCTAACTCGTCTCTTGATCTCTGCTGTTTGGTTCTCTTTGTTAAGTTTTGTAGTTTAACCAAGATATATATAATCCTGAACTTGTATTTCATCTTGTGCGATCCTCATTGTGATGTCTTTATCTGTATTTGTTATAGTTTTGGTCTTGCTGTAATTTATATTAAGGCCTATCTTTCCAGCTTCTACGTCCAGTTCTTTCATCATTTCAAATAATTCTTCTTTTTTATCGGTTATCAATACGATGTCATCAGCGTACCTTAGATGGTTCAAGCGTTGTCCACAAATTTTTATACCTTTTTTTCCCATTCTAATCTTTTAAAAGTATCTTCAAGAGCCTGATTGAAAAATTTTGGTGATATTGTATCACCCTGTCTCACGGCTCTATGCGATATTAACTCAAAAATTATCAAAATTTTTCTTAGATTCATACTGATCAACAATTATTTTATAAATAGTGAAGAAGATTTAAAATTTAAAATAAAATAAAGGGTGTTCCATTAAAAAAAAACATAAGTTTGGTCTGCCACCATCTTATGGAACTCCCTGTAAGATTGTAACTAATTTTAAAATGTGAATTTTTGTCAATATTTTTTTTGCATTTTTACTATAACAAATCTACTGAGCTTCCTCAAGCTAATCAATCACCCTGTATACAAATTATGCTCCTGATATCATGAAAGTTAAGTGCATTTTTCTCAGAATAGCACAATTGGTAGATAGGACCTTTCAGTTTAGGAGGACAATATATTATTGAAATTGTTTATCCCTTTAAAATAAAACCCGAAATCTAGTAGCACCATCTGTTATGGAACGACAAAAATTAAACAATCCTAGAATATAAGTATTTTCTCTACCAAGACACTATAGATAAGCATTTATATACAGCTCATTACCACCACCAAATCATTCACCAAACTATCTACTTATACCAATAACAAAAATCTACCGTAACCTGAACATATACAAAAAAAATATATATAAAAGTTTACCCTTTATCAAGAAGACCTGATCTCTCTTCAATATCTCTGGAAAAAATTTGAAGATTACGTTAAGATAAAACTGTACAGCACTTTAGTAAATATGAAGAAAATATGGGAAAGAATAGATTGTTACATCTTACAACTAAATTAAGATTGTATCATGTACATTAATTATACAAAAAGAGGAAGAAAATCAAGTAAGTGGTAAAGTTAGAAGAAAGGAAGTTGAAATATACAATAGCAATAAAAAAATGGTAAAATATCTACTGTTTTGTATTGTTCTTGGTCCTTACATGGTCAATTCCATATACAGTTTGTTCTTCTAAACATTGTTATATTCTTCTAAATGTGCCTATCTTTCAGAGATGATGGCGACCACATTGACCCATCTTATTCTATTCACAGCAGCTCGACATATATTAGTTGACGTTAGACCAATCCACTTCCTATGATTGGTCAGCCAGAATATACGTGTATGTCCAGGGCCTCTCTTGCCTTGTAGAAGTCGGTATTTATCATTACGCATGATGTGGCAGAAGTAAGCCAATTTTCTGTTTTTTATGGTGTTAATAACTTCTTTGTATTTTCTAAGCCTCTGGAGAATTCTTATGTGTATAATGATACTTAAAGATAAGTTGCAGAAATTCTTTCTAAGGCTATTGAAACAGCTTCTGGCTTTTTCAATACTAGTTTTTATTTCGTAGTTGTGATCCCAAGTGTCCTTAATATTGCAGCCCAAATGGAATTTGGTTGCATTATGTTGGTGTTCTTACTATTGATCATTATTTTTGTCTTCTTGCAATTTAGTTTTAGGCCGTATCTGTTACATGCTTCTACAACGTTATCCATTATCTTTGGAGTCCCTGAGCACTATCTGCCAGCAACACTGTATCATCTGAATATCTAATATTGACGTCGCAGTTGACATCCCTGGCTCTTTGTATTAGAACCTGCAAACTAAAAGTGCTTCCCTCGTTCCGAGTCCTGCCCTGAATCCAAATTGAACTTCACTCAGCCCTTCTAATTTGGTGTATATGCGCGAGTGAATGATAGTAAGGAGTACTTTAAGTACATGGCGCATCAAAAGAATTAATCTGTTCTCCACATTTTCTAGCGTTCGCTTTTTTAGGAAGTGGAATGAATGTTGATAGTAGCCAGTCTTTTGGTAAGTAGTCAGTCTCGTAGATGTTGTTGAATAGCTTCGTAAGAGCTGTGATTTGATGTGCCTCTAATAGCTTTAAAATTTCACCATGCACCTCATTAGGTCCTGATGATTTCCCATCTTTAATCCGCTTAATGGCCATAGTTACTTCTTCGTTTGTTATTTCTGAGCCGTAGGGATTATTTATTTCAGTCAGACTTCGTGCTACATCTTCGAATAATTCTTGCATATATTCTTTCTTCTTCTCGTGCCACTCCTAGCGGAGATTGGAAATCATCATGGCCACTGCGACTTTGTTAGCAGCGCACCTTAAAAGTTCAATCAAACTACACCCGAACCATTCACGTAGATTACGAAGCCACGATATTTTTCTTCTTCCCACACTTCTTTTGCCCTTAATTTTGCCCTGCATGATGTTTCTTAAAAGTTCGTACTTTTCACCTCTCACAATGTGCCCCAAGTATTCTATCTTTCTAGTTTTTATCTCATTTAGAATTTCGCATCTTTTGTCTAAAGTTTGGAGTACTTGCGTGTTAGTGACGCGGTCCATCCATGATATTCTAAGAATGCGCCTATAGCACCACATCTCGAAAGCTTCGATGTTTTTTATGGTCAACTGTTTTAGTGTCCAAGCCTCAACTCCATATAACAGGGTAGAAAAGACATAACACCGCAGCATTCGTATTCGTAACTTTATATTGATATCACGATTGCAAAAGAGTTTGCGCATTCTATTAAAGACTGATCTAGCGATTTCTATTCTACATCTAATCTCTTTTGTTTGATCAGTATCGTCTGTGATCCAAGCACCTAGATATTTATAACAGGGCACACGCTCAATCGTTGTATCGTCTATTACAAGATTAGCTCTGATGTTCTTTGATTTCGTAATTACCATAAATTTAGTTTTTTTCAAATTAATTTTCAAGCCGTAACTGTTACAGTATATATTGAGACTTTGAACGAGATGTTGTAGTTCTACTAGCGTTCCCGTTAGGAGAACTGTATCGTCAGCATACCTTATATTGTTGATCGTCTCACCATTTATTATCAGACCAAGATCTTCTTCCTCGAGTGCTTGTTCACAGATAGCTATATATTCTTTCCATCTTCGTAATTTATCTTCCATGGTAGTCAAAATCTGAACTTTAATGTCTACAACTTTGCCTGTATAGCGTTGTTTTCTGATGTTCTATAGCTCTTTAATATTTTTGTGTTGTAATATTTCAACTTTCGTACATTTCTCCGTCAGCCATGTTTCTTTTGCTTCTTTTATCTCCTTTAGTATAATTTTATGCAACTTTTTGTAATCGTTGTCATTTCTACCTTTTAATTTTCTTAGCTCTTCTATCATCTGCAATATTTTATCTGTCATTCATTCTTGCTTCTTTTTTGTTTTTGATTTTAGATATTAAAGCGAAATTGGGATACTAGATGTCTTCATATCGTTCCACTGTTCTTCTATGCCTATAGTAGTGTCTTCAACTGTTATCTGTGTATGTTATATAGAACTGTATATTATAGTGTTTCATCCAATAGTGTTCTGTTACAATTAATGTAAAATGCTTGATTTGTACTTAAATTCAATTTCAAGTTCTTAGAATATTTCGTAAAATTTTTTACAATAGACAGTTCCTTTGTATGGGAACAGTAGACACTTTCTTTTGTCGTCAATATAAATTCGCATGTTGATTGTAGAGTCTTAGCTCGGCTTGTCAGCCACAGCGTTTTCTTTCATAATTGATTCATTCTTCTATTGCCATACGATTTTTTATTGTCTGCTCTTAATTTATCTCTACTGGAGTCCATAGTGATCTTCTAATTGCATCCGTTTCCATCCATTATTTCGACCTTTTTTGTTGTTCTCTGTTGATCATAATCTGACTACTCTATAAAATACTCTAGCTATAGTTATGTAAAAGTAATTTTAAGAAAAAGTCTAATATGCCGTCTAGATAAAACACCCTGTGTACCATATGGGACGTGTATACTTACTTGGGACCCATAGGCTCCAATTTCATTTGGTCGTTGTCCATTTTGGATATGTTGAAATTTTCTTAACACCAGTGAAAACAGTAGAATAAACGTGGGGGAACCATTAATTCTACTTTTCTATCTTAGGCTTCTCTGAAAATAAAATAGATATCTAAGAAACGTAAATATCTCACCCTGTATATATTTATTTTATATCTGTTTTATTGTTAATACAATTTAGATGTTTTTTGATATGAATTATCTACATTATAAATTTGATTATATATTGTTTCTCTTCTGAAAATATGGTTATGGTTATTTTTTTAAGAATGCTCGCCAAAGTTGTAGTATTTGGTCTTTTGGGCAACCAATGCAATGCACAGACGACCTCAAAAAGTTCGTAGACTCAAGGTGGATGAATGTAGCAAGAAATAGAGAGTCATGTGAGTTGCAGTATCGCAACTGTGTCTAAACATTTGTAATATATTAACGGACTTTTTGATTCTGCCCGTATATTTAAACAAGATTCCGTGTACAAAAACACAGCTGTTTTAAAAACTAAACATTATAAGACGAGCCATCAGCAAAATGACACAGAAGTGTATTTTAGATAAGGGACGAGTTTCATATGCCAAATTAGACAGTCGAGTTTTATCTCAAAAACGACACTGACGTGTGTTTGGGTTAAGAGTACCTTACCCAATTAGTTTCGGGCTTGTGAGAAAGACAGTCGTTACATGCAGTATGGGTGCAGGTTGGTCCATTATCATTACTTTTTGTGGTTCGCCGCCGACCTATTCTTCCTTTGGAATTAGAAAATGAGTTGGTTGGGTATGCCCTAACTATAGAGCAACGTTATTTTGGGCTAAGAGCGCGTGATATACAACTTGCAATACGAAACTCAATACCACATTCATTTAGCGGAGTCAAAAAATCAGGAGAAAAGAAATGGTTGAGGCACTTTCTGAAAAGGCATCCGAGTTCTTTGACCTGTATGAACCAAAATATCTTAAGCCTACTAACCCTGTACAACGTATATTCAGTGTAGACGAAACGGGCCTTACAATTATTCAGCACAAGCATAGTCATAGTCATATTTATTGATCCATATCCATATCCTTTATTGATTCATAGCAAAGTAATTTCCATGAGAGGGAAGAAGCAGGTTTCGTCACTTACTTCAGCAGAATGGGGCAAGCTGATTACTGGTATTTAATGTATGAATGCTGCAGGAGTTTTCGTATCACCATTATTAATGTTCCCTAGAAAAAATATGTAACCAGAGTTGATGCTAGGAGCTCCCACTGGAGCAGTCGAAGAATGCCATGTGTCAGGTTGGGTACAGGCCGATATTTTTACTAGATGGCTTAAACACTTCATAAAATTAACTAAACCTTCAGCTGCAGACCCTGTTATTCTCGTCCTTGATGGTCACTATTCTCATACGAGAAACGTTGTTCTAATAGATTTCGCCAAACAGAATCATGTGACGATTATTTAGAAATAGAAATTAAGAAATAGAAAACTGTCTCAGAGAAATCAGTTGAGTGTTGTGTCGCCTTATGCTGTTGCCAGTATTTTTTGTAAAGCGTATAACAAAGCTGCGACGATGGAAATATTTTGCAATGGTTTCTGAAAAACTGGACTGGTTCCTATTTGTCACTATATTTTTAGAGACTTTGAATTTGGAATTCAAGAGCACTTAGAAAGACAAAACGAAAGGGACGAACAAATAATAGAACTAAACTGTCCAATCCCTACATTCCACAAGAGAGATACCACTAAAAAACCACATGCCATATCAGGAAAGGCTTTAGTAATTCCTCTAACACCCTACAAAGAAGAATTAGAGCAAAGTTTGCAAAAGAAAAAAGCAAAAAAACTAGTACCTCAGCTAAACTTGGATTGTGTATTTGCTCCAGAAAGAAACAGTTAGACACAAAGTGTTAGATAAAAAAACAGCAACGCCCGAAGAAAAAATAGCAGATGAAGACGTAGGTCAATCTTCTACAACAAAATCAAAACATCAAGAAGGAAGCGAAAAGTTTCTTCGAGTTCAAGCTCAGATAGCAGTGAAGACTTTCTATTAGCTGATTCATCGTCCAACGAAACTGGAAAAAACGACGCGGAATGTTTATTTTGCAGCGGCTAATTTTCCGACGATAGATTTGGCGAACGATGGCAAAGTGTTACCAATGTGGCAGGTGAGCACATGAAGACTGTGGAGAAATAAAGTTTAGCACATTTATTTGCCTTTTCTGCGAAGAAAAGGGCTTTTTTGAATATTATCCTAAGTTAAGGTACCTGTCTCAAGTTTAGATACCTGGCTATCCCAAATTAGGCACCTTTTATTTTTAATATTAAATGTCGCAAAAAAATTAAATGTATTTTTTTTGGAAAAATATATGTTTTATTTGCTTTATTTTTTTGTTGTGTTCTAGAAACATTAAAATTAGGTTTTCGAAATAAATGTTTTAAAAACTTTTGAATATTGTGTTTTATATTTGTTTTTCAAAAAAAGTGTCTCAAATTTGGTGCCTTTCCTCTAAAATCCTTAAGTATTCTAGGAAAAAAATATCATGACTTAAAATATATCCTAAACCATGCAGAATATGTCAAAAAATCATCTAAATGAAAACTAGTTCACACTTAGACCGGTTCACCTGTATCGTATAAAATACATTTTATACGATAAAATCATTGTATTGTATATTTTTTACGTACTTACTGTGATTATCTAGAAAAACCACCCGATTTCCGCTCGTTATAAAATTTCAGAAACCACTAAGCGGTAGACGATCAAAATCCTTAGCGGATACGTTCGCGACGGGACTCATTGGCCTACTACGACGTGGGTCGGACATTAAATCAAAATAAAAGATTTCCCGCACACTATCATTAGAAAATTCCGAGATAAATCTGAACGAATGCTCTTACTATAATCTGCGACGAAGGTCATTAATGGGGCTAGAAGAGAAGACAACGGGAAAAGAAGTGAGCAAAAATCAACGTTAGCGATGTTTTTTATTTATAAGCTATTACATACTTTTTTTAATTTCTCTAGTTAAATATTTTTTGCTCAGCAGTTGCCAAAAAAAATAGCGTTTGAAAGTTATAAAAATATTTATATTATATGCAACACAATATAAAACATAAGGAACAAGAATTTTACGATACTTTAAAAAATATTATCATACCTAACTTTTACTCAACTTTAACTAAACCCAGAACTTCCACCATCTCATAGAACCATTTCTTTATTTTCATGTGTGACAAAAGCATTTGAAAGGCTAATAAAATTTAGATTAGAACATTTTATTGAAAGTAGTTAAGTTTTTCCCTACTTACAATATGAATTTCGTAGAGGTGAAGTACCCTTGATGCTCTTAGATTTATTTACGGATAGTCAACTCTGTTTATCAAAAAAAAAAAGAATTTAGGCTGTTTGTTTCTAGATTAAAAGGGTGCATATGACGTAGGTGATTTGAATATATTATATCCAAAAATGGTGGCGTGTAGTATTGATAAAAGATTATCTGTAAATATAATAAATTTGTATGTGAATAGAAAAACATACTTACGGGACTATAGAAATGTATTACCCGGTCCAAGAATATTATATAACGGTCTCCCACAAGGCTCAATTCTGAGTCCTTTATTATTTAATGTTTATAATGCAGATCTGCATGATTTGATATATGGCAAATGCAAAATAATTCAATATGCAGATGATATAAATATGTTTATATACCAGCCATAAATCCAATGAAGATTGTATGTTGAATCTAAATCTGGGACCAGGGCTTCAAGATTGTCTGTACCGAATTGAAAGGGAAAAAGACACCCTACCCCCTGCCCGAGGAGGAGAAACTTCGTTTAATACGGGAAATTTTTCCTCAGGTGGAGGATAGGCGTGAAAGGGTTATTGGTTTGGTATATGCGGAACCTTTCACTGAGTTGGAACTCGGCGAGGCTGTTGGACGGATGAAGATCCGAAAAGCACCTGGCATAGATGGAGTTATGCAGGAGACAGTAGACTAAATTACCCGCAGGTTTTTCTGAGATTGCTAAATAAATTCCAACAATGTGGAAAGAAGCTAAGGTTGTCCTTATACCGAAAGGTAAAGGTCAAGAGGAAGAGGTACGATTTCGGCCAATTTACCTTCTTAGTTCGATAGCTAAATTGTACGAACAGCTTACAAAAGGCCGCCTTGAGCGAGAGCTAGAAGAAAAGCATGCGCTGAGTGATTACCAATATGGTTTTAGGGCCAAAAGGTCCACCATAGTTGCGGTCACAAAAAATAACCTCTTTAGTTACGCAGGATACAAAGAGATGGGTGACTCTCATCCTGCTCGATGTCAAGAATGCCTTTAATATGATATCATCGGAAAAAATCATGTCCAGGCCTAGATAATTGGGCGTTAGTAAATACCTGGTCAAGGTAATTAACAGATACTTCACTGACAGGTCCATAAGAGAAAAAGATACCAGCATGATGTCAGAAAACGGACATGGCTAATGCGGCTAATACAGCCCTGAGTCGCATTAGTAGGTGGATCAGAGAGAACGATCTACAGCTAGCGCCTCAGAAAACTCAGGTGTTAGTTCAAAGGGACCCCGGAAAGATCCTCTCTTCGCTTTATAGTGGAAGATGTGGAGGTTGCACCGGTTAAATCAATTAAATATCTATGAGTCTGGTTATCGAAAAGTCTATGGTTCGGAGTACACATCCAAAAGACAGTAGACAAGGCGAACCGAAATCTAGAAGCATTGATACGATTGATGCCAAACATCTTAAGGTCCACAAATGCCGGTTTGTTGTATTCTAATGATTTCTCTTGCACTCGCCTGATTATAAATATAGTGTCGGTGCATTATCTTCCCGACCTAAAACCTTGTTGTTCTTCTGCTAGTATTATAATTTCATTTCGTTTATTTGTTACTGCTTTGGCTATTAATTTTAGTATTATGTTTAATAAATTAATTCCTCTGTAATTTTCCGGGTTTGATTTGTCTCCTTTTTTGAAGAGGAAGAGAAGTATAATGTGTTTATCCCAAACAAATTTATCAAAAAATACAACACCCATCTTCTAATCGTTTTCATGTTAAAAGGACACCCAGTATAAGTAGCGTGTTGTGCATCACAATGACC